AGAGATGCTTTCATAATGTTTCTTTTGGCACTGTGTCTATTTCTAGAATTTTGAAAGGCAAGAACAATAGGTCTAGGAAGTACAGAGACCCCTTGCATACAAGTGGGTTACGGTTTCCTCAGTGAGTATTTCTTACATACATATTATATTTCCTGATCACTTTGCTTCCTGTAAGGCAGTCCTTTTTGTCGCCTCACAAGTGCAAAGAGCTGTGAGGTTTGTACAGTTTCTGGAAAAGGAATAACCATTTTTCTGCCCTTTCCCAGACAGCTGAATGACAGATTTTCTCCCTACAGTCCATCTCCTGACAAGCACTTACATAAATTCTTAATGTCACTTGAGTGAATACTGGACTACTCACATACTTTATATTAAGACATATATAATATACGCTAAACTGTAGATTTATTCAGTATGTACCACTGAGCAGGGTCACTAGTTTTCTAGAGACAAAGGAGAACTCTTAGAATGTATGAAGAGAAGCTAACGAATAAAGCATAGGAGTAAGCCTTTAAAAATAACATTTCAGTCCTTGTAAAAGATCAGTACCCTGTAAATGCATTTGTCGCTATAATATTTTTGCAGACATGTATACTGCAAAAAGACACATTTTACAATAGTTTTAAGGCTTTTTTTTTTTTACGTTTCATTAATGCACTGTGAAAATGTGTGTCATTGTGTAAAATATCATTAGATTATAGTTCTCAGTCTTTTGTAGGTAGCTATTTTGAAAGTACTGCCAGAAACACACAGCACTCCTACAAATTGCCTTTTTTAAACTAAAGAACAGCTTTGCAGATTCCCTTGACACCTATTAAGTATGAGCTAATACTGCCTCCATGCCACCTACACACCATCTCAGCATCCATTCCATAGTTTTGAATGTCTGTACTTCTACATCCTACACATTTTCTGTAAAAAAAAAAAAAAAAAAGAGAGAAAGAGCAGCTCCCTCCCATCCTTTCTCCTTCCCCCCAGGAAAAAAAAAAAAAAGGGCCTTTAGCAGTAATTGAAGCGTTGGTAGTCATCAATGACAATTTTACTTAATCTTTAAAAAATGTGTCATTTTGAAAAATAACGTTTAAAATCCTAATGCTTTTCTAATTAAAATAACTATGACTGTAATTCACAGATGGTTTACTTTTACAGGAGTCTGAATGACATTAAAATTTCAGACTCAGATTAGAGCACTTTGTAGTCCAGAAAGTATTGAAAAGTGAGTGCTTTAGTGGAAGAACATTTTAACCTTTTTTTTCCCCCTAGGCACGCAGGAAACATTCTGTGATTAGATGAAAGACCAGAATGAAGACAGGTGGAAGCCTCAAAAAGTGTTTTGATATCTGGCATATGAAATTCCAACATTTTTCAACATTATTTGTTTCACTGAACACAATAACTGTACAGAGGGCAGTGAGACTAGCTTGTTCTCGGTCAGCTGTAGAGGGTATCAGATTTATTTCAAAGATTTAACAACACAGATTTCCAGCCATACTAACATAATCAAATGTGTTATTGCAGTTTCTTCCATCCATGCTTCTGTCTAGAGCTCTGCTCTCAATAGACCTGGCACATGATGTAAAATCTATAAATAGCTTTTATCCAAATGTAAAATGAATTTGTATGGACATTTTGTATTTATTCATTCACTTAAAATTTGTAGCAGGCTTCTACTAATGAAGTTCATAGCATAAGTGATGCCACATGTAATCATGTTCCTGGGGTGTAGGATGGGAGAAAAAAGCACTCCTGTTTGCATGTCCCCTAGCTGGCTTCATGACCCTCCAGTGCCAGACGCTTGTAGGCTAAATAACCATAAGCTTGAACATTGTCTTGACTGTGATTTTTTACAGACTGCACAGTGCAAAAAGAAATTCAACTCAATGTTTATTTAAGTTACACATTTGAAATATAGCCTAGATGCCACCAGGGTGATCATTCTGAGACTAATCAAGAATGGGGTTGTTAATTTTGCCATGGGCATTGTTAGTAATCAGGGCTTTTTTAAGGTTTCAGAAAGTAATTTTTTCTCATTCTAAAGACTTCCAGTGAGAAAGTAAGGGGAGAAACAAGAATTTTGACAAATGGAGGGAAAGGGGAAGAAATGAGGAAAAAAACTGGATGATTTGGCTTAGGCCTGAGACACAGAGGGAAAAAAAAGGCTCCAGTGTGATGTAGAGGGTTTGTTGAAAGGGATTAGTGGAGTACAAAGAGAAAATGTAATCAGAGTAAAAGAATATGATTTTATTAAGTATTTATATCCAGGCTTTGGTTGTCTGAGAGCTACTCATACAAACGGTAATTATAATAACTACATGATAATTTAATTACAGTCAACCACATGAATAATCATTAAGTTATTCTTATAGAAGACTTTTGGATTTAAGGTGATAATGAGCAAGAAGATGAAGGGTTTACTAGCCGAAGCTAGTAATAAGGAAAGTTCAATACGTGTTTTGACAAGATGTATGGAATAAAACAATTACCGATGAGCAGTTATTACAGAATTCACAGAGTTCAGTGACAGAGTGGATGTGGTGGGAGGAGTCAAGGTGGAGTTTTGGTGTCCTGGAAGAAAGTTGAAGGCACAAAAAGAAAATGCTTATTGGAAAGAGAGGAGAAAGTTGGCATGGTTTGCTCTAAAAACATGAAAAGTTTGCTTATTCATGATACAGGATAAGATGTCTAAAAGAGAAGCAAATTTAAACTGAAGAATCACAGAGTCACAGAATGTTAGGGATTGGAAGGGACCTCTGAGGATCATCTAGGCCAACCCCTCTGTGGGAGCAGGTTCACCTGAGCAAATGGCACAGGATGATGTCCAGGCGGGTTTTGAATGTCCCCAGAGATGGAGACAGTGGTTGACCTCTTTTCCTTAGAACAGGAAGACAAGAAGTGGAGACAAAAGGAGAGATTTTTAAGAACATTTAGCAAGCCTTGGGAAAGAAGCAGGTTCCAGAACAGATGATGGACGAAGAAGGAAGCCAAAGTGCTAAGACAACCAGGCAAAGAGAGAGTTTTCAAAGCACAGGAAGAAAAGTGAAACCTTTTGTTGAAAGTCAGCAGTTAAGAAAATGAGGATGAGAGTATGTCCTTAAGAGCAGAGTATGAGAGCACAATGAGATCTCGGTGAGACTGCCTCAGATGAATGTGAAGTTAAAAATTGGAAGATATCATTCAAGATAATCTATTCAGGAAATGTAAAGATACATGTATTTTTACCAGCATAGCTACTATTGTAGAAAGATGATCTAGGAAAAGGTAAAGTTATTCTGGAAAAGTGACACCAATTTGTAAGCAGAAGGATAATTCCAGAATAGGTGGTATGAATAGAGAAGCTACTCTGGAATAGCTAAGGTGTACTAGTATTTGTCTAGCTGCACAATTTCCTAAAACAGATATTCCAGGCATTTTCAACTGTGCAAAGAAAGCCTCTTCCCTATTTACAAGTTTCTATAATGGCAAGACAAGTAAAATGTATTTTCTATCACCTTGCACACTTTGCAATAGCACAAAAAGGCCTATTTTATTGGCAAAAGAGGCAAAAAATAATTAGAACACATTCTAATTTTGACATTTCAGTGCATCCGATTTTAACTAAAAGACTAAAAGTTGCGTCGTCTTTGTCTGTCAGCTCAAACCTCAGAAACTGAGACTCTTAAAGCATTTGATTCAAAATGACTTCTCTCTAAGGTAGAGATAAGGGAGGCTTCGGGACAAAAATGTGCCTCACTCCTTTCTGGATTTTGTTAATGGAGTTTAGACAGTATATATATATATATATGTCCTGGCTTTCTGTAGTTCGTCACTACTAGTGATGTACATCTGACAGTCATGTTTGGATTAGAAATAGTTAATTTGAAAGCTGTGCAATTATCCCTGTTGATACCCATCTCCCAGATCTATACCGGAAAACACAACAGTGGAGCAGAATGGTGCAGTGAGAAGAGAATGAGCTTGTGAGCTGCAGACGATCAAGAGTTGGAATGAATTTCTGCAATTTCAGCCAGACTTGTATTAATTAATCAGTATGACTATTAGCCATACAATATTAATAGCCAGACAGAAGCCATAATCTTCACTGGATAGCACAGTTCTCCAATACTGATCCTTTTATTTCTAAGAAGTGAAGGAAAATTTCTTCTAAAGAATTCCTGAGGAAAAAATGGTATAAGGAAAGACATTATTTCCCAATTTTTTTACTTACTTAGCTTGTACGTGCTTAGATGGTGCATTTTTTAAGGCTTTTAGAAAGGAATGCTTTTGAAGATTATACAGAAAAGAATTTTTAAGGATTGTTTCAGCATATTCAGAAAGTATCAAAAGGAAGGTGTTTACTTTTGGTCTAACTAGCTGAATTTTTCTGTAAAGGCAAATGAGCATCTAAGGATTGTTTTTAAGGCCCTCAAGGAACTAGATGAGTTAAACCAAGCAACTAGTCTGCACCAGAATAAGATCATACACTCAGTCACTACTTAGAAGATTATTTTTCGCAAAGGAGTCTTGTTTCTGACAATTTAGTCTCGATTCTAAATAGACACCCACAACACGACTTCAGCAGGCAAGGCAACGAACTAGGATACGTAGGTTAACTGGACATTAGGGATCATTCTTACTAGTGGCAGTGAGTATCTCCCATCCTCCAGCTTGGGCTAAAATCATGCTGCTCGACAGATGGCGGCTATCTGTTGCCATTTTCTGCTTCATGTGGGTTTATGGTTTATCACCTTTTTCCTTGCCACCATCACCCTGTTTTATAAAAGTTGAATCTTATTTTCTATTACGTTGTCTAACACATTAGCATAATTACAATCAGAATGCTTTTTTTTTCTTTTTTTTTTTTTCCCCAACCTGTATTTAATTTGAAAATTGTAGTATTTGTTCTGGATTGTTTTGGAACTGAAGGATCTTAGCTGGATTGTATATATACTGTCATTATTTACCTGTCATTGTTTTGGCTGGTTTAGTTGATGGTGAAGGTTTCCCTGCTGTTTCTCTTCCAGATAGGAGTCCGAAAAGTGTTTCTTAAATACTGGCAAGCTGACCATCTCAATGATTTGTGCCTTCAGCTTCAGAAGAAAATTATAACCTGCCAAAAAGGTAACGATTACAGAACAAGTATTCCTGAGCTGCCGCTTTGTACACTGAGCAGAAAGTATTACATAACAAAAAAAAATTTCTCCTCCTTGAACAGTTGCTGTATTTTGTACGTCTCCCTGCAGATATATTTTCAGCTAACTACTTGCACAAATTTTCTTACATTATGTTAACATCAGCGATGCTTGCACTTTCTGTCTGTCAAACATAATTTTATGGCAAACTGTTGACTGTAGTTAAAACTTTGGGGATGTTGAACATTTATTTTTTAAAGTATGTTCAGTGATTTTTCAATGCATTAGTATCACTTTAACTTCTTGATGTAAAGCAACTACCATAAAAATTATATAAAATTGCAGTGAGTTCAGATATATTGATGGTGAATAGAAGGCTAGTAATTTAATATGTTTAGTTGTCTTTCTTTTTCTGCTTTTCACAGCTTCCATATTTGACTGGTAGCTTTTTATATTCAGGTATTTTTTCCTTTTTATGCTTGCATTTTTACTAAGGACATACTGACATTTTTTGGCACGTTTTTAAAAGGAGACATTATCCACTGCCTTCTGATTTCCAGTTACTTCTGTTCCATTTCCTATCAAAATCTCAAGTAACTACTGAAAATGTGAATATTGCTTTATTTGAAGAAGCTTCCTTCACACAATGCATTATTTATCTAGTCGTTTGAAACAACTCACATTATCTCCTTTTTAAAGGAAATTAAAAAGACAAAGACATCGGTTTTTTCAGGTAGATAAACAATATTGCAGACTTAGGAATATATCAACCCCTTTCATTTTAACTATCTATTCTTCTCTGAGAGCATACAGTGAAAAAGAGGAAAAAAGGGAAACTTGAAGCAACTGAAATCAAAATAGTAGCAGCTTAGGATTGAATGTGGAGAGTGACGGTTATCACAGGCCACAGTTCAGCTTGGGCTTGATTTTTTATTCCAATCATACTGTTGTATTCACACATTTAGAAAAGCAGTAGTGATTTATCCTCTTTGCATCCTCGTGCTGACTTATCAAAGAAAGGAAAAAATTATCTTCAGAAGTCTGATTTGTGAAGAGTGCTTTAATATAACCCTATACCAAATTGTAAACCAGATGTGTCCATGTTTCACAGAGGTAACAGAACAGGTATCTGCCAAACCTTGGCAGAAGAATGAAGGTCTTCTTGGCTTCTTGCAAAAATACTTCCATTTTTCCTTCTAGTCCTCCTTAATTAGGCTAACTTGAAAAGTAATCTTCACCAAAACTATGCATTCAAAGCTTTTTTCCAAAGCTATGTGTTGTCTGCATGGTTTTTTTATGGTCTGGGAAACCAGAGAAAATTGGGAACTTCCATGAGTAAGGAGTAGTTAAACATCCATTTCACAACATTAGCTCATGAAGTAAGCTGCCCTTTGCAAACAGGTACAATTTTAAACTTGTGGAACTAGCATGCCAAAGAGTTCTGGCAGGTTGGGAATAGGATAAGGTGCCTGTGTGTTGTTATGTAACCCTAAAATTGGGATCTACAGGATTTTACACTGTGATGAAGATGTTTAATGAGTAGTCCTATCAATCCTGCATATCCACATTTTTTTCCCATCATCCTTTGCATCTAAAGGATTTTGGAAGCTAAATCTCTCCTGATAGCATATTGACTCAGAGCCAAACTAGTCAATAATTTCTCTATCAAGTTTAAAATTTAATATCATAAACCTATATAAGGACTTAACTCAAAGGGAAAACAGGTCCTGCCCAAAATTCTTATCAACTGTTTTTACCTCACTCTTATTACCGATTATCTCAGCATTCCCATAAGTTTGTAGAAAAACAAACCAAGCCAAATCAGATAAGTCTTTTTATGTTATCCTGAAAGATAATCTACCCAGGCAAAGAAAGGGGACAAACTAAAGTGAAAGCATATGTAGAAACACCTTTTATTTAAAAACGGATCTGGGAGTTTAGGAACTTTGTCATATTTTTTTCACAGGTGTGAGAACTGCATATAGGAACTGCTGACCTTATTGGATCACAGAGAAAATTGTTTGTGTCTGTAGGAAAGTCCATCAAGCTGAAGTCTGATCAGTGTTCAGGTAGATTAGGGGTTAACTTTAATACATATTATACACAATATTTTATACATTTTTCACAGAACCCAGATCCATGGTCAACTTGAAGTTTGATTGTTCTAATCCTTATCCTTAGATAAAGGGTAAGGAAGTAGATATTTTTCTGCCCTGTGGGTGCTGACCTCAGTTATTTTAATTTGCAAAAGTGAGAATTATTTTAGAACTACATAAATGAGAAATACATTCAGAGGACAATCTTAGTACCCATACAGCAGTAGATGAAACTGAGCAGTAAAGGTCTAGGAGATGAAAATTTCATTTTACAGCGGTTTTTGAGGATACAATTTTTTTTTTTAACTCCGTGTTGAATTGAATACAAAATCTTTCAAATATTCTCATAGAGAAGGAAATGTGGCGAATTCTCCATGAAAAACAGAGCTACTCAGTTCATGTAAATGTGTGCAAAAGGAAAGAGGGGTGTCTGCCAACTCTTCCTGAAAAAACTTAGTTCAATGTTTCTTCAAAACACCTCAATTTTGATGGAATTGCATAGTTCAGAGTAGCTACTTATACTGGATATCATTTTACTGGACCCTCCTAGCAGACTATTGTGCATTGTTTGTGTCTGCTAACGATCCCGTCAGAGGATTGGCCTCTGTATTTCCTTTTCCTAACCAGCTTCAGTGGTGTTGCCAACTCCTTTTTTTTTATAAGGTAAAACAGACTTTTTTCCAAAGACATCCAACATTTGATGCTTAATTGTTTACCAAATACCTTATCTGCTCCACAGCAGATAAGTTTAACGAAAATACTAGAAGGAGCAATTTTTTGTTATTAAGCTTTTTTGAAATTTTCATATTTGTGAGCAGTGGGCTCTGATAGTGTTCTCATGTGTTCATTACCTTTGCACAACAAAAACAGCAAAAAGTAGTACTGGAAGCTATAACAGGAGATGAGACAGCAAAATCTTCTTCCGACATAAGGCTGACAAAGAGGGTGAAAAATAAGCCTAATAGACACGTAAAGCTGATGCAACGCAGATGCAAATTTTAAACTGAAAAATCCAGATATGATGTGACAGAAACATTGGAGAAATTTGCATTAAATTAATCTAATTGTTTTTTGCTAAGAGGAAAAAAGCAATGAAAGGTCTGTACGTCACACTAAAAAATCATGTGTTGGTTTTGATTTTGATAGGTTTTAGGTACCCTGAAATATTTAAAACATTTTTTAAAGTTGACTAAAAGCAAATGATCATTTAATACCTACTTCATTCAATGCAACAATCATTTATTCAGTGTTTTATTTTGAAACTAACCATCTTTTGCCCTTTGCAGTGTAAATGTATGCTTTCGTAACTCATAGCATACACCTAAGTTTCAAGTTGTAATGTCGTAAAAAATAAGGTTCAGTGAAAGTAAACATTTTTAGTTGTGATAGCTCAAATTTATGAATGAATTTACTGTCAATACTTTGTTTCAAGCACTGGCACTAACAAACAGAAAGAGCCCCATTTCAGTATATTATTTATATGCCCTCACATTTCTTTCATTCTTTGTATAAGATCTTGACTGAACTTGATTTGCTCATGTTTACAGCAGAACACATGGTAATATTAAGTTATTCACCACTTGATAAGTTCTCTTTCATTGGCCCATATTTTCTCCTTCTGTTATGGTAGTTGTCAGAGGATTTCTAGCTCGTCAGCGCTTGCTACAGAAGATGAGCGTCAAACAGCAAGAGGTCACCTCAATCAAAAGCTTCTTGCAGAACGCCGAGGATATGGGATTGAAAACATACGATGCCTTGGTCATTCAAAATGCTTCTGACATTGCTCGGGAAAATGACCGGCTCCGCAATGAGATGAACGCTGCTTACCACAGAGAAAAGTTAGAGGCTAGAAGCAGAGCAGAAGACGGCCACAAAAAGTAAGTTCAAGAAACATCTACTGCGAAGAATGGAAACTTTTTTTTCAGTTTTAGTGATTTCTTCCCTGCTTCAAGGTCATAGAAATGACTGAGGAATTGCAAGAAGATTTACAAGTATATACTCAACCTGAATCAATGTTAGGTCTTATTTATTTTCTTTATATCAGGTAATTAAGTCTAGAAACTTAAGGACACCCCTAATACTCTCTTTGGGGGACACTGAGCATTATAGAAATTTATTCAAATCTCTGAGGTATTTATTTTTTACTGCAATACTTTTGAATTGTATAATAAATAGATTATAGAATCACAGAATGGCCTAGGCTGGAAGGGACCTTAGAGATCATCTAGTTCAACCTCCCTGCCATGGGCAGGGATGCCACCTCTTGACTAGACCAGGCAACACATGGGGACTGAGTGGGAATCGAACCCGCGACCTCGGTGTTGGTCCTTGTTGTCAGCACTACGCTCAAACCACTGAGCTAACCGGCCCCCCATCTAATTGAACTTTCATCATACCAAACAAACAAAAGAAAAATTCCTCTAACTTAAAATTGCAACACTGAGAAATTGCCAAAGATAATAAAAAACAGCTAGGAAGGTATTAAAATACAGTAAACTCTGGACTAAGAAATCCTGATTACACATTGAACTAGGTAGATTGATTGTGAGGAGAATTCTTTCCTCTTATTTAAAAATAGGTGAATGGCTTTTAACTCCTATTAGAATTTTTAGGAGTAGCTATGTTACAAGTCTAGCAAATCCTGGAGAGCCTTTCTCTGAGTCCCTGATCTCTTTTCTCTCAGACAGATGAGTGGGCAGAGGTAGTATTTGCAATTAACAGGTATGGAATGTGTCTGTAACTTGCTGGACATAGAAGCGTTTATTTTTCCATAGGAACTCGATTTTCATCCAGAACAATTCCCTTTGCTTTCATTGCTTTTGTCAGTGACTTTTATTAAAGTGAAAATGGCAGTGCATCTGCTTAATTAGTTTCAAATATCCCAGTGATTACATATTGGAGGAAATGCCTTTGTAGGAAAGACTGTAATTAAACATTACAGTGAAAACAAATTATCCACTGAGCACCATGCTTTCATCTTTAGCTATTTCATTTACTACGTGGGCAGCTGGCTATATCTTGTGCATGAATTCCAGCTCTGCTGGTGATTTGCCATGCAGAAATACAATTTAAAAAAACAAATGCTTAGGGATTTGTTTGTAAAATGACAGTATAGACATTACTATTCTAAGTTAAGCAATTTTTGGTGTTTTGATTTTTGGAGGAATAAAATGTTAGAATTTCTGTTAAAAATCAGTTTGTTGGAAGCATCTGATAAACATAAATTCTCAATACATATTGAAATAGCGAAGAAAAAAATGAAAAAATTTTAATAAAACCAAAAAACTGTGATTGAAATAACTAAACATAATATCATAATTAATATTACCAAAATTATAACTAATAATTAAACAGGAAGACATATAGATATCTGGGTGGAGTGGCTCAAGCAGCCAATGTCTCTGGTTAAGAAGGTCATCTAATATTTTAAAGATTTGCATTATCTAAATAGAATTTATAGTGTCTTTTTAGAAAATAATGATAAAGGCTCAGCATTTACTGCCTCAGTAACTTTCTATTTAAATGGATTTCCCAGAAATTATCATTCAGATTGAAAACCCAGCTTTTGATTGTGTGTAACAATCAAAGTGTGAACAATTCATTCAGTGAATGTCTGATCAACAATATGAAACTGCTCAAGGAAGGCTGCATTTGTGTGGAAAAGGGCCGGTGCCCTGATTTATCATGAAACAGGAAATGGAAGAAAGCTAGCAGCTCGATCTGGTTTTGTTTGTCGGAAGATTACTGTACGCATCCCCTCGACACAGCGGGGGAGTTGTGAGATTGTTTACCAAAAAGCTGTTGTTATGTTTGCATGAACAGGTTCATTGTTACCGCTTGAATAATGCATCTGGGCCTCTTTTCTGTGTTTTCAGAGCTGAAGACAAGGGTGGGAAGGTCTCCGAGGACAGCTTTGCCGGCTGTCGAACGCCTAAGCACTTTCATTCCAGCTCCGTCCCTGTCCCCATGGCAGTGGACAGCTTGGTACATTCTGTGGCTGGGTCATCCATCAGATCCCCCTCCCTGCACTCTGTGTTCAGCATGGATGAGAGCAGTAGCCTGCCATCACCAAGGAAACAGCCTCCTCCCAAACCAAAGAGGGACCCCAACACACGACTGAGCGCTTCATATGAGGCTGTTAGCGCTTGCTTGTCAGCAGCTTCTAAGGAAACCGCTAATGAAGGTTAGGCATAAAGGAAGAAACAGTTGCAAATGCTGCTCTAGGTTATTGATTTATTCCCTTCTCTTTGATCCTTTTAAACACAACCAAGCGCCTTTGAAAAGTCCTGCCTCCCTGAAATATTTCAGTGGCAGAAAATAAAATTAGTCAGTTTATCATTTGTCTCCAAATCAGCAAATAGTACTCGTGTTCTAATTGCCTAGTTTGTCAACAACCAAAACCTATTTGCAGAACTCCCTCTAGAGACAAATGATCTGTCTGCTTGAGCTATTCTACCCCACTGACCGTGTTATTTCACCTTTTAAACTATGTGTTAGAACATCTTGCATCACTGAAACAGAATGCTCATATAGTGAATTTCACCAAGTTAAACATTAAACTTTTTCCTACTTTTTCTCTGTGTTCCTATGAATAACTTATTCAGTGGTTCATGTTTTTGCCATACTTCCATACAGTGAATTTCTGGTTTAGAAGGAAAGTGCTAGTAAAGTCCCAATGCACCTCTATGCACTGTAGTGCATATAGAATAGTTTTGAGTTGGATTGTTCTATTCTCCTTCACCCTTGAAATGAGTGAGAAGAAGATGAAGGGAAGGAATGAATTCTGCTTTTCCTTGATAAGCTTGACTTGTCATGCTTTGTGTAAAGGATCCTCTGGGCTTATCACAGAAGATCCTTCAGGTTGGGTTTAAAGCTATGCATAACCATTCTCTAATCCTGCATGCAATGGATGGAAACCTGTGTAGGTCCCTTTTGCAAAATGATTTACTATTCTCATATGCAGTTCATTAGATGCAAGTCCATTTTGCTTAACCTCTTCCTTGCTCGTTCAGGCTCTGTGTAAGCAGAGATGAACTGTGTTCAATATAGTTTTAAACTACTATGGTTTAAGGAGCTGTCTAGTGATTTTGGCTTTCTGTGCCCAGCTCTGCAAGAGATGGTTGATTTAGCTGAAAAGCTCTAGTAGAGATTTTTGGAAGAATGACAATTTATGTATGTATTTGTGGTCTAAACATTAATGCTCATATACATTCACAAAACAACTTTGGAATTCTTCCCATATGCATGAAACAACAACACCAGTTTCCCAGCCATATACTCCTTTTCCAAGACTTGCATTAACTTCCTGAGTCTTTGTCCAAAGTCAGTTCAGATTTACACCATCTAATTTTGATCTTAGAAGATGAACCACCTAGGTATCTAGTCTCTGCACTCCATACATGCCTAGAGGCTGTGAAAAGACATCTAGTTTAGTTAACTGTATACTCAGTTGGGGAATTGCTCTTAGGCAATGGGATTCCCTAACTTTATAAATTATTTCCACACATACAGTACAAAAGAAGAAAAGATAGGCATAATATCTGCTATAAATAGAGTTTTATAGATATTGCATAAAAGAGGGATACTTGAGTTCCTGGCAATAACGTGTGTCAAAGTAGCACCATGCTGATACTCCTAGCTAAAAGCATGACCGCTTACCCTGGGGCAAAAGGAATAACAAGCATGTATTTCTATGTGTTACCGATTTTTCTGTGACAGAAGAGGTTACCAAAACAGATTATATTTCCCAGTAGTATTTTGTTCCTTGAAATATTTATACCTTGTACTGCAGCTCTGTGTTTTGACTGCTCTTCACTGTAAAACTATATTGGCAACATTTGAGGGCTTAAAGCATTTGACATGTTAATAACACAGACCTTTTTCACCTTCCTAGTACTGACCCGTCCAAGGCCACACAGTGATGACTATAGTACCATGAAAAAAATACCTCCCAGAAAACCAAAACGAAGCCCCAATACGAAGCTTAGTGGCTCTTACGAAGAGATACCTGGCCAAAAGCCTGGGGATGTAAAACAGGCCAGTGTGGTAGCTAAACCAGTTGCCTATGACACTGTGACAGTACAGAGAACAACTTCTGCTGAAGGACCACAACATGCAGTGTTGAGTCTCTATATGTCACAAGAAGAAGAGGAAAATGAGCCTGTTTACATTGAAATGGTAGGGAACGCAATGAAAAGCAGTTCTGCTGAAGCAGAAAGTCCAGAACAAGGAGAGTCTGTATATGAAGAAATGAAGTATTTTCTACCAGAAGAAGGAAGCAATGGTAATGGAATAGTTCCAGTAGTGACTGGATCCCCTCCTCTGTTGTTTGAAAGTAAAAAAACTATTAACACTGAAGAGGGAATATTGGATGGAAACAGTCAAGCAGCTTTGATCTATAAAGATTCATGTGACATTCCGGCCCCTTTCCCTAACTTGCTCCCCCACAGGCCACCACTTCTTGTATTTCCTCCAACCCCTGTCACATGTTCACCTGCTTCTGATGAATCACCTCTAACACCACTAGAAGTCAAAAAACTTCCTGTCTTGGAAACCAACCTAAAATACCCTGTGCAGTCAGAAGGCTCAAGTCCATTATCACCACAGTACTCCAAAAGCCAGAAAGGGGAGAATGAAAGACCAGCATCTCCAAGCTTGGTTGTGTTCAACGTTTCCAGCAAAGTGACTCCTCCTTCTACACCACCTCCTCCTCTCCCACCACCCCCTCCTCCTATACCACCTCCTATTTCCTACCGGGCTTCCACACATTTTGCATTTCCTCCAGAGACTTGTGCGAGTTTTCTGATTAATACAGGGAAGACAGGTACAAACTCAGATCTGTCAAAAGTACCTCAGAGACCAAATCCTGCTCAGCCTGGTTGCTCATCATCTCCCTTCTCCAAACTGCCTTACTCCCCAAAGGTGGCAAGAGCAGATCACAGGAAACTGAACTCAAATTCATCATCTTCATTTTCATACAGCCCTACAAACTCAAGGTCGTTGACCAGTCCCCTTGATGAGTTAACTAGCTTGTTCAACTCAGGACGGAGTGTGCTACGAAAATCTGCAGCAGGGCGTAAGATCAGGGAGCCAGAAGGTAAGACAGATTTCTGTGCTTCTCTATAGCGTATTTCTTCTGCATCAAAACTTTCTTGTGTTGGAAGCTAATAGAGTAGGTAAAAATACAAACCCAAATCGTAATTTCTGGGCTTTTTTAAAGAAAGATCTGTTACAGTCATAAAAAACCACATATATAAAATACATTGCATACCAAAAATTATAGGTCTTGGGGTTTTCTCTGAGATGTCAACTTTTTACCAAAATATTTGTATGACCCAAATTAAAATGGATTCTTTTTAATATTCCAGCAATCTTAGTAATATTTTTACTCATGTTACATCATGTTACATCATGTGAAAATGAGTTTATGGTCTCAATCTATAGAAATACTTTGAATGCAGTACCTGACTAGGTGTCTGGTAGATAGCATATGCTGTAATTTGAAGACTTTTTTTTAAGGCTTCATTATTTCATTTCCTTAAAATTCTGAATTTGGTCATAAAGCCATTGTTATTCTTCTAAGTAAAGCTGAGATGGAGAGTTGTGCAACAAATTATATTTTTTTCCCTTTTCTATCCTTTTATTCCTACCTTTCCTGTAATTTACATACACTTACATACATATACAGAGATTACTGGATACCCTGACTTTCCAGCATCTGGACAATATCTTCTGTATGTATTGCAAAAAGCCAACTATAAAAGGAGCTAAGCTTGCTATTTTGTTAAAGGTTTTGAGGCCACGGTCCTCAGACGCTATTTCTTAATTATTTGCCTTGTTCAGGTAATAAAGGGTTTAATGTTGTTACTGGAACAAATCTATGGATCTTATGAATACTGAAAATTCATCCTGATGTTAATGATTCAATAGGCTGCTCTGTAAGGATGAGATGCTTCGGACCTAACTTAGTCTATGTAAAAGCTCGATATGTAGGCATCAAATCCTTAGGCTATGAAGAGGCAGTCATTTTGAGAGTTTGTTTTCTCCCACATATCTTTCTCCACTGAGTGTAAAGAAAGCCTAGATGATTGAACTGGTAGAGTTGTAGCTTCTAAATGGTTAAATTGATGTAAGTCCTGGTTCTGCACATAAATTAAAACATTGACTCCAGTCTTTGCATTACTTTCCTGATCTTTTTTTTTAAAAAAGCCTCCTGTTGAAAATAGTCAATGCAGTATATACAGGAACTTCTCACCCTAGTAGCATCTCCCAAACACAAAATTTTGTGAATCTAAAGTTCAGAGTGAAAAAACCTCTAGATTGTTTTCTCTGCTGCTTCACTTCTGTCTGTCCAGTCGGCTTGTATTAATAAAGAGCTGTGTACAGGATATACAAAAAGGACATTATGGAGTCATAGAATCATAAAATCATTTTGGTTGGAAAAGACTTTTTAAGATTAACTAGTCCAAACATAAAACTAACGCTACCAAGCCCAATATTAAACCATTAACCACCACATTAAATACCTCCAGGTCTTTTAAATACCTCCAGGGATGGTGAATCAATCACTTCCCTCGTGAGCCTATTCCAGTGCTTGAAAAACCTTTCTGTAATGAAGTTTTTACTAATATCCAATCTAAACCTCCCTTGCTGCAACGTGGGGCCATTTCCTCTTATCCTATCACTTGTTACTTGGAGGAAGAGGCCAACCCCCACCTCACTACAGCCTCCTTTCAGGTAGTTGTAGAGAGCGATAAGGTCTCTCTTGAGCCTCCTTTCCTCCAGCCACTCTTCCTCAAACTGCCCAGCACTTGGCCTTGTTGAACCTCCTACAGTTGTCCTCAGCCAATTGATTCAGCCTGTCCAGGTCCGTCTGTAGAGCCTTCCTACCCTCAAGCAGATTAACACTCCTTTCCAACTTGGTGTCATCTGCAGACTTTATCTAGACAGTCAAACTTAAGCTCTAGACAGTGAAAACATTCCCTAACGTTTAGGCCTACCCCACCGCTTCTCCTTCCTTGACTGTCCCTTCTGAACAATTTATAGCCATCCACTGCAGCCACCTTTGATACTGCCACCTTTTTGGGGGAGAAGCCCAAGTCCTATTTTTGAAATATAAAATGAAATAGTAAAGAATGGATTAGATTATCTTCTTATTCATTGTCTATTTTCTCAAGTATATACTGGTTTGTTGATTAAGTATTGTACCCTGATTTATGCAGCTATAATGTAAGAGAAGCAGGTGTTTGTGCTTGCTCTGCATATGTGTATATCTGTCTGCATGCCCTGCTATGTCTCTGTCCCTAACAACCTTTGTAGCCTTCAGCCAAAACCACTTTCAGTCAAATGCAACAGGGACATAAAGGTCTCAGAACCAATTGAGTTTTTACAGGTTTTGTGGATGTTAGTGGCTAGGTAGAGACAAAAGACTTATACTGGGAAAAAGGCTCCTCTCAGCTCCTGCTATTCTGGACAGAGCCCTTCTGAATCCTCCAGATCTTGAAAAAGCTTCAGCTGGACCTTGCATGGTGCTAGATGCTGATAGCCATGAGCTATGAACTGAGCCTTTATCAGTTTTCAACCTCAGGAGAAGACCATGTTTGTTATTCTGAATATTTGAATTAATGAAATTGATAAAGGAGATATTGCAGTAGTTTTGGTTGCTTTGGCAAAATTGCTTGATACCATTAAATGCCTATAAATATATGTAGAATAGTTTTTGTTTGATTTGTTATTTTAAGTTGAGGGTCTTTATTTACTATACAGATAGTATATTTTTATCCACTGAGAAGTAACTAAGTCAGCTCTTTGGAGGTATCTTCTCAAGTCTCTCTCAATGTGCCTGGTGAGGAAGTGTAGTAAGCCTACTCCAACCATCTCACAAAACTGACCTTTACCCTAAAAAATAATGTTGCTTTGGGATGGAGGATTTTTGCAAATGCAATTTTCAACTAAACCTGGCCAAGATAGAGTTCAGCTTGGGTCTCCTGTGAGTTGAAGCTAGTGCATTAACAGAGGCTACCATAAAACCACTAAATTTACCTTTCACATGGAAAATGTTGTACTTCTAAATATTTTATCAAGGCAGCACTAAGTATGAAAGATCAAAGTTCAGGGAAGATATACGATAAAAAACCTAAATCAATATTTTATGAGCTAGGAAGCTACTGTAAGTGCAGTTACATATGAACAGTTCAGTGATGAGCAGATGGATTGGAAGTAACAAAGAAATACAGGTGACTGCATGTGTGTGTTTTTACAGATTGCCTTTTTTATGTATTTCTTGTGTTCAGTTAAATTTTTGGAGTAATAGCTGGAAAAAGATATTCTTTATGTAACCTCTGAGGCAAAGTAATAAGATGGCAATCAGCAGAATGGACTCTGTTATGTAAAACTAGAAGCTATCCACATCTTACCTTCTAATTTTTTTTATCACCCATTCCCTAATCCATATTAAGTTCCTGGAAGACTCCTCCCTTTCTTCTTTTTGTCATTTATAGTACTTTATTTATAGGAGATAAATTAATTATAATAGAAAGTCATTAAAATTGAAGACATGGCTTAGAGCAGCACTCTGTAATGTGCAATTTCCTTTTATTTCTGTAAGTTATAACCTATCAAAACCAAGTAAAAACAGAAAGTAAACTTCTGGGCCCTTTTGAAGTCAAGGAGAGTTACCTATGGGAATCAGTAAGTTTCTGTATGGGTTCATCAGCCTTGCAGATAAAAGCCTCCTTGCCAATAAAAGTGCAATATAGACAGATCCCCCAACATGCCTCCCTCTTGCCTGGAGGAGTAATTTCAAGACCTGAGAACACTGATGTCCTTTTGGCTCCTGACCTCTCCATGAGAAACGATCGTCCAGAATTTCAATAGAACAGATTCATGGTTTTCTGATGGGCTGAGGACTTACTGTGAGCTGAACTGAGAGAACTCTTCTTTCACAAAGGCAACAAAAAGATAATCAAGAGGCAACAACTTTCATTACCTGTTGGCCTAGCCTGGCCATTTTTTTATACAACAGTAGCATCTGCTGGTTCAAGCAATGATCAGGATTATATAGTACGCAATTTCTTGCAAAATACTTTACATGTAGCAAGAGTTTTCTGCTCCGCAGAGCTTATAGTTTAAATAAGGAAAACTGTAACAGGTGAGAACTGAGATAAAGGGATTTCTCCAAGGTTGAAAAGAGTTGTCATTGAAGCTACAGCTGTATTGTTAGACAGGGATTTCATTTTACTACATATAAAATGAGACTTGAGTGCAGATAAGAGATAATACACATACACAATTTTCTTCTACTCTCTGATTTCTAGAAGTAGAAACTTCACTTTGCAAGACAGATAGAAACTGAATGAACATGTTCAGAGCCCCTGCTCAGATATGTCTAGACAGGATCTTAGATCTGAAACTAGACTTCAGAAAACCCAATTCAATGCCATAATCACAAACTACACTCTCTAGCAGAGCATGCAAATACTTTTAACTATTCAACTTACAAGACATTCATTATGTAAGGAAGAAACAATTGCATATTCAAGCATTTCATGTTAAATATTTGTGGAGCAAGGACACGTTTTTTTTTCCTCATCATGACTGAACGATACGCAGATTGCGTAGGTTGCAGTGTTATTTTTGCTAGTTGATATAGTTGATATTAGATTATTTTATATAAAGGGGAATCATTTCAGCTTCAGAACAAAAGATGGAATAATTCCAAGCCCATCATCCATGCTCACATTGACAGACTGAATATTTCCCGTTTGGTCCGCATGTGTTGCCTCATCTAATTGAGAGGCGTCCCTGCCCATGACAGGGAGGTTGGATTAAATGATCTCTAAGGTCCCTTCCAGCCTAGGCCATTCTATGATTCATGTAGATT